GAAAATCACCACAACTGAAGCCGTCACCAGGGTACTAAATAAACTGTTCGCGACCCACGGCCTTCCTGATGTCATCGTGTCGGACAACGGGCCCCAATTCACCTCGCTGGAATTCGAAAAATTCCTAGCAGAAAAGGGCATACGACACGCCTTGACAGCGACGGCTCATCCGGCGGCCAACAGTAGGGCGGAACGGATGGTCCAATTCACAAAAAAAACCATCCAAAAAATCGAGCACGGGGATATACAGGAAAAAATAAATAAACTGCTTCTAATACAACATATAACCCCTAACACGACAACAAACAAAAGCCCGGCAGAATTACTGATGGGGAGGAAACTAAGGTCCCCACTTGACAGACTGCACCCCACATACAACCCGGAAAAAACCCCGGACTCATCAAGCAAACACCGGGCATTTAAACCAGGCGATGCAGTCTACGCAAAAAACCTTACCGGAGACCCACTATGGGTACCGGCAACTATAACCCAAATAACAGGTCCCCATTCATACAGACTACAAACAACGGACGGACAAGCGTGGAAACGCCACATAGATCAGTTAAGATCTCGAATAAAAAACACAACCGACACGCAAGCAAGCACAGACAACCCCATTAACACAAACCAAGGGGGGAGGGAAAATACAGGGGACCAAGAAAGAATAGAACACAACCAACAATACTCACCAGATATCAGCCAACTCGAAGCCGCACCAGGGAGAAGCAGCCAAGCCAGCTCGACCAGCCCGGAAAGACCAAGCGGGAGCGGCAAAAGTCGCAGCTCGACCAACCCGGGTAGACCGGGAGGGAGCTGCAGCAGCAGGCCCACACTCCAGACGATTCCATCAAATAGGCTGAGAGCAACAAAAACCCCGACTGAACAGGCCGGGAGCCAGGAAACAACTGACCTGCGCAGGTCCAGTAGACAAGTACGGAGCCCCGCCTACTTACGGGACTACGTTGCGTAGGAACGAACCAAGAGGGGAGGGGTGTTCTGTACAAGGAATTAACATACTTGCAAACCCCGCGTTGCGATTGGCTAAAGCGCGCGGCAACCGGATTGGTCGGGCAAGCCGCCCGGATTGGTCCATTAAGAATCTCCCGCTATTGGTTGAACCAAGAGCGGGAGATTCGAAACGATGTCATTGGCCGCGGGCCGCCGCGGCTTGGAAATAAAAAGCCGGGGTTTTTTCCTTCCTTTCCCAAGCATGTACTGGAGCACAATAAAGAGCTGAACTTTGTCACTGACTCCGAGCTTCCTTCCTGCGCCGGACACGACATAAACAATTGGCAAATCAAATAAATAAAAATAAAAAAAATAAAAGGCACACTGAACTTTATAGGAAATGGATGGAATGGAGATTAGATGGATGGATGGATGGAATGGAATGGAATAGAGGGAGAGACCAACACTAGGACATATGGAAATTAGGATTAGAGAAATGCAGAAGTTAGGAATAGAAGGAGATATAGTGATACAAGCCTTTTGAAAGTATAGAATAAGGAAAGTATAGAATAGGGAATTGCAATAGATCTTATGCGAGAGCTATTTTGGTGTAGGGGTTAATGCTCCAGGCTGGGAACTCAGGAGACAGTGAGTGGGAATCCTGGGCAGAAAGTCCGCTGGGGGGATATTTCCTCTCCCAGCCCAGAAAGGAGGAAGCCTGGAGCCCACCCATCTGTAGCTCTCACCCACAGCTCTCGTCTGCTGGTCCGCTTGCCTGGGACGCCTATCTCTTCCCACATTACAGACAAATGAAGTCCTCACTTAATGACCCAAGTGATCCTGGAGTTGCGATGGCAACTGGAACTGACAGGAATGCCCTCGCTAAGCGACGTAGTCATTTAGTATCACTTTTTTATAACCCCAGTCAAGGGTTATGGTGGATCTTCTACCTCCATGGCCGGTTCCCGGTTGGTATGGGTAGGAGAGGAGTGGCTGAGTCCTAGGTCCCTTCAATATGGGGTGCCCTCTGGCCCAAGCCTTTCGCTGCCCCCTTTTTAACATCTACATGAAACTCCCAGGGGAGCCCATGCATCCTGTGATGCCCCGTTATGCACCTTCACCCAGACAGAGCTGATGCTCTGGTAATGTTTCCCCAAGTGTCTGAGGGCTGCAGCTTCATTTCAACCCTGGCAAAATGTTCATGTGTTTTTGCCTTCCTTCCCCCTCCACCCCCAGAGTAGATGACATTTCATCTTTGGACAGAATGGTACTTCCCTGGCGCACAACCTGGGGACCCTCCTGGGCTCCTGACTCCTGTTTGGGAAAGGGGGGGGCTTTGCAAAGATTCATCTGGTGCACCATTTGTCCCCTTTCTTGGAGCGGGAGGCCTTGCACAGAGGGTCACTCATGCCTTGGTTGCTTCGCCTCCCAGTTTGGATCACTGCAATGGACTCTCCATGGGGCTGCCTAGACCACTCAGAAACTTCAACTGGTCCAGAACACAGCAACACACACAGTAACGTGGGCCCCTAGGTTGCCCATGTAACATTTTTTGTTGTGCAAGCTGCACTGGATTTCAGTTTTTTCCCCAGGAACAATTCAAAGTACTGCTCATCACATTTAAAACTCTCTCCCCCCCCCTATCTATCTATCTATCTATCTATCTATCTATCTATCTATCTATCTACCGTATCTAATCTATCCATATCTATATCTATCTATCCATATCTATATCTATCTAATCTATCCATATCTATCTAATCTATCCATATCTATATCTAATCTATCCATATCTATATCTACCTAATCTATCCATCTATATCTAATCTATCCATATCTATATCTATCTAATCTATCCATATCTATATCTAATCTATCCACATCTATATCTAATCTATCCATATCTATATCTAATCTATCCATCTATATCTATCTATCCATATCTATATCTAATCTATCCATATCTAATCTATCCATATCTATCTAATCTATCCATATCTAATCTATCCATCTATATCTATCTAATCTATCCATATCTATATCTAATCTATCCATA